GATCTCCTTTCTAATTCTTCTGCATCTCCTGGATGACTAATTGTTGGAATTCCAGTGGTTGGACCCCACACCTTTTCCTTTCTATACCTACAATCATTTTCTCATCTGGTCTCATAGCATTAACCTACATGCGTATGCTGACTGCTCAAATTTATCTCTCCAGTTCAGATGTTATAACTGAGTGCCAGGCTTGTCTTTCTAACTAGCCACCTTATTTCTCCACTTGGATGAGCAACTGGCATGTTAAATTTAATATGATCCCTCACCTGATTGTTGTAATTGCCTCCTGATTTCTCTGCTTTCCTTCTTGCCCTTTCTCCATCACCTGCCCAGCCTATTCTCAACACAAAGGCCAAAGTGGATTTTATTCAAACATAAGTCCAGTCATGTCACTTTTTGTTCAAAGCTCCTCCAATGACTTCCTACTTACTCAGAGTAAAACCCAAATTCTTACAAAAATTATATTGTTTTACTATGTATCTATCATATAATCCTTTGAAATAGAAATATCCTACATAATACTGGTTAAAAATTTTTTTATTATGGCAGGCAAAATCTGCATGGAATTCCTATTTTCTTTTGTTCCTCCTGAATACTATTGAATAAAAAAAATAATAACATCAGGAATAAATGAAAAATTCCACTGTTGATGTAAATATCAATGAAGTTATAGCTAGGTTTTAGTTCATAGTAAATATAAAATTCCTCCAGAAACCTACATAGATGTATACTTCTGTAGATTGCCAATTGGGCTAAATTTTGAAATCTATTGTTCCATAAATGAACATGAATGACCTTTTCAAAAGATAATTTTTCATTTTTATTAGTCATAAGAGCTATATTATATTATCACACTTACTTTGTAGATCAAGAGTAAGTTTGTAGAATTTTCCATCTTGTTTAATGGAAAGAGAACTAGACAAACAAGAGCTCTCCTTCACATCTTCTAAGTCAAAAGGTTCAATTATTTCTGCAATAACTGCAGACAAAAATCCTTCAGGAGTGTTGTGCTGCAATAGCTTTCTTATGTAAGCATTTCCAGTTTTCCTAAACAAACCAACACACATTTAAAGAATGTGGATAAAACTGTGGCTTGAATGAGCAAATTTATGAATACATAATTTACAAACAAAATGTACCACACATATGGCCACCACATAAACATTTGATTAGTACTTCTTCAATCTCATTAGTTAATTAACAAAATGCCCATTACAGCAGTGGGACACAATTTTTCACTTATCAAACTAGCAAAGATCTTTTAAATGACAGGCTCAGGAGTGGTAAGAATTGAGTGGAGAAAGGCATGCATCCACTAGTGATGGTATTATAAATTGGTGCAAACTTCCCAGAAAGCAATTTGATAACTTGATATCACTTAGAGCTATTGCATTATTTGTTTCCCGCTGATGCCATAAATCTACTGGCGAGGCTCCATCCTAAGGAAATAACACGGCAGGCGGGTAATGCGAGAGCGGAATCTTTCCACATAAAGACATCCATCGTAGAATTATGATAACAGTTAGAAATAAGAATTACCAATAACAGGAAAATTAAGTAGATGTTACTACATGATCCACTTAGACAAAATGCTACTATTACAATGGTATTTACGGAGTTTTTAATTATATACGGGAGGTGATTATATTACAATGTCTAAAGGAAAGAAGCAGGGTGAAGATTGTTAAAATGCATCTTGAAAGAACCAACCAGGAATTCAGCAAAGTGTTAACAGTTATTATTCCCATTTTCTTCTTTATGTTTATCCGTGTTTAAGAAATTTCTACAATGGGCATGCACTTTTTAATCAAGAAAAACAATCTATTTTAAAATATTAACCTAGGACATCCACATGCAAAAAAAAAAAAATCTAGATACAGACTTTACATCCTTTATAAAAACTAACTTAAAATGGGTCATATACTTAAATATAAAATTCAAACTTATTAAATCCTAGAAGATAACCTAGGGAGAACATCTACACTTGATCTTAGCCAAAAGGCCGAGAAGCGATTGGGGAGAACATCTAGATAATCTTGAGTATGGCAGGGACTTCTAACATACAATGCCAAAGGTACAATCCATGAAAGAAAATAATTGATAAGCTGTACTTTATTAAAATTAAAAACTTCTCCTCTGTGAACCACACTGTCAAGAGAATTAGAAGATAAGCCACAGATGGTGAGAACATATTTGCAAGAGATATATCTGACAAAAAGACTGTGAACCAAAATAAACTGTAGGAGAGGAAAAAAAAAGCCTTTTTCCCCTCTACCCTCCTAGGTTCTGTGGCTGGGGCCTTGTAAATCCAACTGACAAAAGACACATGTGTGTCATGCTTACACACAGGAGAAACTCCGTGATGACTAACTCAAAGGGGTGGTTAGAACTTGCAGCTTATCTAGCATCTTAATAAAGATGGTTGAAATCTAATGCCAAGGCGATGGTGTTAGAAAGTGAGGCTTTTGGAATGTGATTTGGGTCATGAGGGTGGAGCTAAATGGACTAAGACACCCACTCGCTTCCTTTCTATTTAACACGGTCCTAGACACTGCAATAGGACAAAGGGACAATACACTAAGAAGTGTTAAGGAAGAAACAAAACAAGCTCTTTGCAGGTGATATGATTATCTACTTAGAAAAATTTCTACTCAGAAAACCCAAAGGAGTATATAGCAACAGTTCTGGAATTATTAAAAGAATAATAACCCAGGTACACGACCACGGCTTTGCGTATGTGCCAGCAAAGCCGTGGAGGCCATTTACCCGATGTGCTATTCCATACATAACCCTATACTATATCCTTTATGAATAAATAAAAAATTTACAATTTTTAATTATAAACCCGTGTTTTCTATCAAAATTACTTCTTGTGTGAATTTTGGGACACGCTATAGATGCACATATCAATATCGAGTAATTCATGAAGCTTATGCAAATTTAAAAAAGCATCATGTGGTATGAAAAAGGCAGGTCACAGGAGGAGGTACACATAGCTAATTAATACATTTGGTAAAATTAAACAATACATTTTGATACATATACGCGTGTTAAAGCGGTAAAGGCTACAAATACGTTTGGCCTTGTGAGGGTGTCCAAAAGAGACTCACTCTATTTGACCCAGAAAAAAAATCACTCAGAAAAGCAATCTCAAAACTGAGGATCTAGAAACCAGCGTGCAATCTAAGTAAACGAGAAGCACAATCAGTTAACTACTTGGAGTTGATCACTTTTCCCAAGTGAATGTTGCTGAACTTCTTGGTGTGTATAGAGTCCTGAGGTTCATTCGCAGGCACATATGCATAGAAGATCATCTCATTTATGGTGATATACTCCGGGGCGAGCGCAGTCTCAAAGCCCATATCAACCGCCTGGAGTAGGAGAAAAAAATTAGTGCATTTAAACTATTTTATACTTCAATTATAACAAAAGGTGGGTAACGGATTTGTTTCCAGTCCACAGCCAAACAAGGCTGTTTTGCTTAATCCATGGGAGCAGTATGTTTGAATGGCCGCGTGTGCCCAGGAAGATGTGTTTTTCTGTTGAGGGGGAAAAGGAACCCTGAGGAGCCAAGTTTCCTTTCAGACCCCAGGGCTCTTTGCAAAAGGCTGGAGCCGAAGGGTGTGTGGACACTGGAGGAGGGACCGGAGGTGCAGATTTTAAACTTGGTTCTTACTCCGAGTTCCATCTGGGGAAGGAGCTGGGAAGTGCCTCTCCTCACTGGGAAGCTGCTGTTCCCAGTCCCGGGCTAGTGACTCTGCACAACTCTGTCCCCAGCTGAGCCCCCAGCTCTGAGGGCAAACTCTATTCTCACTTCCCCTGGTTCACCAGCCTTTTCCCTGGCCGTCAACACGGGCACCTTCAGCCCAGATTTCTGACCTTCGGGATCTCCTTTTTAACACGCCCCTCTCAGATCTTGATCCTGTGGCTTTGGGAACCCTTAGGAGGTGAGAAGGGAGGTGGAGACCAGCCCTCAAGGGGATGTTGGAACTGACCTTTGTTGCCATGCGGTGAGGGGTGCCCCCTGGTTGGGGGTGCAGATTTGGTTGTCTGTTATGCCTTCCCCTAGTTTTGTAAATTGGGGAACATGCAGAGAAGGGGAGAGAATGGGAAACACATGCAAGGGGAGTCTATGTGGACTGAACGGATGGCGTAAGGACTCTGAAAAAGCTGAAGGGCTTTAGAATTTTTCTGCATGACATTCTGGCCCCGGGGGATGCCAAGAATATGCCATGGAAAGTGTGTGCAATCCAGCAAAAGGCAACATCGTGAGGACTGAAAGCACAGGCCCTGGCACCAGGGGCCTGGACAGATGCCTGGCTCCATCACTAACCAGGGGTAGATGTAGTTTGGGATGAATTGTTTAGTGTTGCGGTGCCTCACTTCCTCATCAGAAAATAAACAGTTGTTGTTAACAGTAAGAGCTCACAACAGTGCCTGGCACCCAACAGGGCCCAGTGAAGCCCGGTGCTTGTTTCTATCCAGACAGGAT